AGACAAAGGAATTCCTGAAAAGCCTTGGAAGTCAGTCCTTCAGAAAAGACTGTTACAGATTGTTCATCCTCGACTCAGAAAACATTGACTCTAAATCCATTGAAATGTAGCACACCACAACTTTCGCATGTGAGTCCTAGGATGGATAGCTCTTCTGTTATACCACCTGTTAACCATGGTTCACCTGCTTCTTCTGGAGAGGTCTCACCTGCGGTCTCGACTCCAAAATCAACAGCTAAGTCACGTTTATCGCAAAGACAACTATTGACGGACAAGGACGAAGTCGCCCCTCCGACGGAACATGAAGAAAAAACGAAGGTCACACATTTACCCCGCGCTCTGGTTCGTCTTCAGCCGCACAAAGCACCTGGAAAGAAAGAGTTGTTGACGCCTGGAAGACCACGCCGCAATACTAGACAGGATTCCATGGATTCCGCAGAGAATAACTGACTATTGGACAGTTCAATTGATCTTTAATTACTAGTGACTGATGTACAATTGTGATATGAAACATTCCGTAATTTGATATTTGATTTATACAGACCTTCTCAGTTTTATTAGTTCCTAAAAAACTTGTCCCCGGGGGAGGAGATGACTAATCATTTCTTTAATGTAATATTATTTCTATATGTTTCAGGTACATGTATCAGTCATCCTTAGTTAATTAAATATTTACTCTGTGGATGATGGTTATTATTTAAGGGGGATAGGGGAGAATGAGGAGGGGTGTTGATCGCACAGGAAGGCATTGTGCTGATTAAAGAAGTACATATACGTGTCAGTTTTATGGCAAGTTAAACTCTTCAAATGACACGCAGGTGCATTATATTTTCAGTTTATTTCCACGCCGAAAAGGTAAGCTGTTTAAAGTCATCGTGTTTTTTCCTGTTTATTATTTGAAAATTATCTAATGCCAGATAAAATTTATTTTAATAAAAAAAAAACTTTTTTTATCGTAACTACCATGGTGTGATAAATCGGGTAAAGCATTTTCATGCATTACATTTTATAATTTAGATTTTTTTAAAAATTTAAACATAATCAGGAATTTAACTAATTAGATAGTGATAAAAATGAATTAAAAAATTAAGCCTATACGGACAAAATCAGTGTTTAAGTTATCTGGATCAATGTCTTAAATGCTTCGTTATTATTTATTTTAAAATCAAGATTTTAAATAATTTTGCATACATGCAGATCAGAGGCAAAAACACATTTCTAATAGTACCAGACGATTGATTGGGAGAAAATGAATATTGCGTTTAAAAAAGATACATATCAACCCCCTGCTAATTATTACTATTATTATGGGGGGGGGTTACATATACCACGTGACTTACCGAAAATCATCCTCTAGTGACTGACTTATTCAAGAAAATCTTGACCAAAAAAATTAATCAATTCGAAGAATGTAAAAAAAAAAAACAAAAACAAACAGGGAATCGATTATTTTATTTTCAGGAATTAATTTTGATTCTCTGCTTGACAATGACATGACTATTTTCTCACTTTAATATATTATAAATTATTCTATTTATAAATCATATTAATTATACATTTATTATTTTCCTTCCACACTTTAATGTTTCTTTTAATAGTGAAAAACTAAGGAATTAAACTTAATTTTCTATTTCTTGGTTAAAATATTCTTATTCTAGTTAACAAAACGAAAGGCGGAATACCTCGGTAGTTTATTCCTGTAGTAAAGATAAAAAACGAGGGTTTCCGAATATACATGATAAACGCAAAACACGATACACGATAGAACCTGATAAATGATCTTCACGATAAACGCAAAACACGATACGATGAGATATGATAGGATACACGCACGATACGACATGATACACACACGATACGATAGGATACACGCACGATAGGACACGATAGGACACGATAGAATTGTAAAGAATAACAATGCGGGTACTGTATTTATAAATTTCGACAGGGCTAATATTAAATAACTTTCTTCAAAGTTTAATCTGTATATTCATACATGACCATAGAAACCGGGAGGGGGGTGCCACCCAATAAAATGTCATTATGTACACTGCTGTAAAAAAACAGTAACTTTATTCTTGTGCACCATCAATAAAACGTCTAAAGACATTTTTAGCTAGCCTGAGCTGAAAGCTCAACAGAGCTTTTATAATAACCTGCTGTCAGTATGTCCGTCCGTCCATCCGTCTATAAACGCTGTTAACATTTGCAACTTCTTCTCAGGAACTACTAGGTTAATTTTAATCAAACTTGGTACAAAGCATCCTAGAGGAGATGGATGCTAAATTTGAAAAAAAAAATGATGGATCTAGCCCCTCAACAAGGGGAGATAATCAAGATATAAAAAATAGGGTGGGATCATTAAAAAATCTTCTTCCTAATAACCACTGGGCAAAAAAAAAATCTGAAACTTAATGTAGACGAATTCTGGAGTAGTGTAGATTTTACACTCTCGAAATTATAATCCCGGGGGGGGGGGGGTAAAGAGGGGTCAAAATAGGTATTACAAAGGAGAAATCTTGTAAGGAATAGCATGGCCATAGTTACTCAGGCAACCGATGTGGCCAACAGGTCTTTTGTTTTATTAGTCAGGTAATTTTTGGTAGTTGATAGTGCCTCCAACAGAATATAGGGCTGCTCCCCATCCCTCCCCGCTTTCAACCGAAATTGCTTCCAACGGGCCATTGTTTATAAATTGATTTTGTACATCAAAGACATTTGTACTTTACAACAAATATTTGATTTATTTATATAAACAAATAATTCTTTGTTGTTTACCTGGCCCCATGGCTTCTTTAAATTACTTATGATGTGTCTTAGGACAAGCTCGCGGTCGTCTTAAAACAGGGACTAAGATTAAGAGTTCCCCTAAGATAGGATAGCTTTGATAGCCTAACATAAGATTAGTTGTGTCGTAAGTTAGTCTTAAATGATGCATCACGAACCCAATAATACCCAATTATGAAATAAAAAAAAACTCTATCAAAAATCAATTAATCAAAACGAAATGCAAACTTGATCTATAATTAATGAAGGTGAAATCTCATTCTAAATATCAGCACAATATCTGCAAGTATTTTGGCAAAAAAAGTGCAGAAAACCCTTAAAAATTGGAAAAGCTGTAATATCGTAAAAATCATTGAAGTGGAACGGTATTCAAACTTGATCTGAAACTCTTCAAAATACACCCACGTGTAATACATACCACAAATCAGCTCAATATCTGCCAGCATTTAGAAAAAAGTGCGGAAAACCAGGGGCTCGTAACATAAAGCTTGCTAAGTTTTTGACTTAAGTAGGGTCGTAAGTACGGTTTAAGCACAATCTTAGGACATGTCTAAGTACTGCTTAAGTATGTCTTAAACCGTAACATACATGTAAAGCGAACTAAGCTAGGTCCTAGCTAAGTCAGACTTATGTTAAAAATATTTCACATGAGTCAATCTATAGTTTTTGATTTTATATAGATATATTGCTAAATGTGATTCAGTGAGGGTTTTAATTAATTACATATTAAAGTGACGTCCTTACCTATCGGTTTAAATTATGTTAGATTAGATTTCGTATTAAAATTATAATTATGTTATAAACTATTTAGAATGTTTGAAAACAAATACTGCACGGTCAGAAAGTGGAGAATTGTGGTTCATTGTAAATGTTCACGACAATTGTTTTATCACCTGAGGTGTTTTCATTTTACCTATTGTAAATCTTTTGTTTTGATAAATGTTCACCTACCCTGTTTTTATCGCAGACAAGAAAAGATAATTCACCGCCTATTCACTTGAAATTAAAACTCTAAAAAGTTCGATACATTTTGAATCCCCGCTAAGTATAATGCCATATGTCAGAAGCAAAAAATGCAGAAGTTATACTTATAATCAAGGATACAAAACAAAAATCGAGATATTTCTATAACCGAAGTCCTACTAATTTCAGACGTATCCCTATATAACTAAATTTTTATTTACTTGTATGCTAGTCCTGTGCTGTGCTGTACTGTGAGTGAAATTGGGATCAGTGATCACCCCACCCCCCTCCCAAAGAAAAAATAAAATTCTTAAATCAGTGTCAAATATAGTTAATTATTTTCTTTTATGCATAATATGAATAGAGGAAACTTTAAACATCGAAAGTCAACATCAAATAATCCTAAATATATGTACAAGAAATTTAAGATATACTTAAGTCACCTCTACCGGCCGCCTAAGTTTTGCTAAGATTGCCAAATCTAAGTACGCTTCTAGTTACGGTCTTAAGTTTTAAACTGTACTTAAGTCCTACTTATGCACGGTCTAAAACTTAAGTAGCCTTTATGTTACGACCCCAAGTGAACAGACTGACAGGCAAGCTAGACGAACAGCTAGACAGCTAGACGGACGGAGGGACAGACAGACATACCGATTTCTATATTCCCTCCCACTTTTCAAGTGGGGGGGGGGGGGTGATAAAAGTACAAGGCTTTAAATTTTTTTTTAGAATAAGGGAAAAGGCAGAAATTTTAATATCAAGTTCTCTGTTAGATTTAAAATGAAACTAAACTTGCGACAAGAAAATTTACATATATACATGTATGTAGGTATCGAATATGTAAAAAAAAAAAAATCCGTTATTTACTTTATGTATATTTGCATTTGAATTTTCCACTTATCTTCCCTCAGACATTCCAATACTTCTAAAACAAATAGGGAAAATATTTTTTTAAAGTTCAAAGCAGTATCAAGAATGATACTGGTCGTTACATGTGTTTGATTAAAAAAAAACTTTTCTACTAATCTGGTAATCAGATTTTATTCTATATAGAACAATTTTGCTTTTTGAAACATTGCTATCATACATGTACTAGTCAAGAAAGCTGAATGGAATTAGATGAAAAGAAAAAAAAATGGCAAAAAAAAAATTACTTTAATTATGGAGATCATTTAAATTAAATTGTATGATATGCATGTACCATTATTTATTGACAGTGTTACTCAATATATGTTCACTACACGTTGTAGATGAGTTCACCACACTGACTGATGACGAGGTGTCCGTGTTATTCTGTTTTCTGTGTTCTGACTCCGGTCCTCCTGACTTGACTGACACAGAGTGGCTGGACATGCTTAATGAGATACGGCAGGACGTGTACGATAAAGATATTCCTGTAACACGTGAGGAAGCACAGCAGATTCTGGACAGACTGAAGTCACGTGATTACCTCTGGGAAGATCAGGAGAAGATCACGGAGGACACAAAGGATGAGACAATGTATAGGATAGCATTAAGACGCCCTGATAAACCTTTCTATTACAGTAGTTATGACACAGCCAATGTGTACCTGAGATCAGGGGGATACAAGAGAAAACCTAGAGAGAAGTGTGTCGTTAGTCCTGGCCCAAGCTGTGATCACTTACTGGTACTCCGTCTACAGATGAACATACTGACTCACGTCACCATGGAGGACACGGGAATATATGATACGATACACCGGATATGTAAGTCAGAGTAAAATAATTTAATTGAAAATTGTTTTTTTTTCTTCCAGAATTTTCTTTAAATAATTGGATTACATTTAAAAGAGTTAAAAAGTTATCAGTAGAAACATTTATACATTTAAATCACTTTCTTTTTTTTGTAGTTGCTTTGTAGTAGCTTCATCGATTACAATTTAATGGTACTAGATTAACATATTATAATAGAAGTAACTGATCGTGTTTAATACATCTATAATTTGATTGTATCTCTACCTATACACATGTATATATACATAATGTTACTACAGTGTAAATGTTTATTATAAACAGTATATTTTTTTCTACAGTAAATATCCCAGAAAATAAAATCAAGAGCAGTAAAGATGAACGAAAAGAATTTCTAACGGAACTAAGAAGAGAAGGGGAGGCTGTACATTACAGAGGAAGATCACAGGACAGTGTAGATCACGTGACGTGGCTCTGGAGATACGGGAGACATGCAAAACCTGACATCGTGAGATCCTGTATAGGTCTACATCCACACTGGGATATCTACATCATCGACAACAAAACCTATAGAAAACCAAGTAAGAAAGTTTTATTTTCTAGAAAAAAAATAAAATTAATTCTTTAGTTACTTCTGTGAATTCGGACCTATAAATTTATATTAGCTCAGTTCATTATATTTGTTACCCAAGACCTTGTATAGAAAAGTGATTTATCTGTTCAGTAATCTGAATAAATATTACTGAATACCTAAATATACCTGTAACTTTGTGTAGACATAAATCTAAAAATCAAGGGTGTAAATTTTTCTACTTAAATAAAGGAGATGATTGGGGTTTTGGGAGATTGAAGTTCTTTCCTGACCATTTTTTATCTTTCAAACACTACGACTTACCATTCTTCAACTTTAACTAAACTGCAACGTGTGTTTTGAAAGTGCATGTGAGGGTGTGTGTGTGTTTGTGAGGGGGGGGATGTATACATACGTCCCAATGTTTATTTTCTATATGATTTCTATCGTTTGAAAAAAAAAGTATGGGACTGAACCCCCCTCCGCTAGCCTCCCTTGTTTCGACGCCAATGGTTATCTTTTTTTTAATTGGAGCCTTTGTTTTTTTTGTTTTTTGTTTTTTTTTGTATTTTGCAAATCTAAATGTCAGTTAAAGTATCAGTCTGTTTCTCTCCCTCGATTTCGCTTTAAAGTAGGTCTACACTCGCACAACGTCATTTACCGCCACCGCGCTTCCTTTTTCCGAGAGGTGATTTTTGAACTATATTGGTTTGACTTTTAGTAAGCGTTTTAAATATCCGGTAACGATTTTGCTCCAAGTCGGTGGCGTCTACAAACATACAAAAACTGATTGTTCTACAGTCTAAGGATAAATTAATTAAAAAGGGAAGGCTGGGAACAACTTTTGGTTGACAGAAATAATTAGGTAATAAAACTATATTTCTGTGAATTATGCATGTGCTATATGCCGTTCCGATAACACGGACGAACTTGCTACATCAGAACATGCATGATTTATATCAAACTCTCGCGACTATTGTCAGCGGTCAAGTTGAAGCTAATAGTAATAATTCGGAAGAAAAGTAATGACTACGATTTGACTTAGACATTTATAAATAATATGTTTTACGGTGTGACCGTTGGGGCGAGCGCAGTTGTACCATCAAAAACACTTGAGATCAGCCACTTCGAACGTCAAGGCGCACGAGACATCTGGACTAGCTGTGACGTCATACGACGTCACAAAGCTCGTCGGAGCTTACGGAGACAGCCGAGCGTCTGTTTGAAACTATAGAACTAGTGCAGTTTTTGTCGAAAAACATTGCAGAGTTATTTTTGTTTCTTTGAAAGATTTCTACAAACTGAAAACCTGATATATGCTTTACGTTATTATTTATTTATTTATTCGGCAATATTCGCGCAAAGGACATTGGGTAGTGCAGGAATTCTGGGAATGTTGCACAGAGAAATTTGGCTGACGTATGTACAGATTTCAATCCGAATTTCCTCTGTTCTTACACCTTAGTCTATTGAGCTCGCTTTGCGAGCGTCGCTTCGCGACGCTCGCTGCGCTCGCTATAAATTTTATTAATCAAACATTATAAAATTTACTTTGAACAATAATTATTGTTTAAGACGCCCCCCCCCCCCCCCCCTCAAACTGCTTATCCACGAATTAATGCAAAATTATAAAATTATCTTATGATTATTAGTACATGACAAAAGTTGATTCACTTGCAGCATACTTACTTTCTGTTACAAAATTATCCAGTTTGTGAGAATCCGTAAATCACTTTCATTTTCATTTTCATTGTCTCCAATTTACAGACAAGACTAGTGTGTTTTAATTTTTTAAAGTAAAATAGGATAAATTTTAGGAACAATAGGTATTGGGTGCGTATAGTTATTGTTTTGAGTATGTACAACTTTGTTAGTACAAATATACACTCAAACATTAACAGTATTACAGTTGCAATATATTTTTTATGAAAGAAGGAAATTAGGGGGGTACCTTTAGTGTAGAGCTCATACCACGAAAAGTAATGCGTCAACATATAATTTTTTACAGCTTAATCTTTTTTTAAATATGATTGAGTAAAAATAATGCAAATTTACGAAGTTTAAGTCCATTTTTTTTTGAATGACGGAGATTGGGCTGTGAAGCATATTTTCTCATGTTAAATTTTGATACGTTAGTCTAACAAAGTGCATCCATTTATAATAATTCATGCAAAACAAAACTTATTTCTACTCTCTTAAGGGTATTAAAGTCGAATATTTAGGCTTTAATTCATTTATATACAATAAAATCTTGGATAGGTAAATTTCAGTATTTTACATTTCGGGGTATATACTCCGATAGATAATAGCGGAAAAGTGAACATGCTGACATATGATTTTTCTTGTGTTTATCCATTGCTGGGATTTATGTCTATCTTTTAAAAGCAGATTTATTAAGATTGAGCCCATTTAGTGCAGAGTATATAACTACCTTAAATTTTGTAAAATTAAACTTGTTTCAATATTAATCCAAATTAAATTTATTGTCTTTAACAGGATTTTCATTTCTTTTATTTTTTTTATTGTATGTAAGTGTACATGTATTCCGCATTATTTATTGTGAAAGGTGGTGAACATGTTTCAGGTCGTATAAATTTGCTATCTGATACCACTGACAGGAGTTATCTCCCCATAATACCTACGAGTTATGTCGCGTTACAAAGGCGATATACATTAATTCCTTCCCTCGTTTTAAGAGTGTCACCTTTATCCTTCTATGGACCTGTTGAATACAAGTAGATTTGATATTGCTGTTATGCCTTAAAACAATCGTTTCATCTTTTAGTGCAAAATATATTAGATCAACTTGGTGAAAATAAATGTCTCAGGTCGTATAAATTTACTGCTGACGGGGTGGCAGACAAGAGTTATCTCTCCATAATACGTACGAGTTATGTCGCGTTTCAAAGGTTCCTACATTGTATCCTCATTTTAAAAGTTTCACCTTTATCCTTTCATGGACCTGTTGAATACAAGAAGAGTTGATTGTTGTTATGCCTTAAAACATTTGTTTCATTTTTTAGTGCAAAAGTTAGATCAACTTAATTTAATCAGGAAGCATTTTGAACTATTTAAAAAAAAATCAGTTTCATCATAAAATCACAGCAAAAAAAAAGATACGGACTTCTGACTGAAATGACTAGAGGCGATGAAAATCCAGGTACTGCACATATATAAAAGTTTGAATGGATGTAGTGATGAAACGAATAGTTCTCGTCTGATCCTTATATATGTCACGGGATCTAATCCCACCGAGGGACGTGAACACGTGTTCTTAAATTAGACCGATTAAAATGGGGTCCCTTGTTGTGGAAGTTGCTGGCACGAAAATGATCCCTCGCTGCTCAATGGCCCTCAGTGACAAGGTCAAATTGAGGCTCTCCGCGGCGAAGAATGTTGTCAATGTAACAGTGTTTCAGTGAAATATTGGAAATGAGACGTTTTAATCAACAAACAAACTTATCATTACAGTATTTTGGACGTTTACAAGCATTATTCATCGTTAATATATAGAAATATAGAATAAGTCAATATTTTTTTCTATTTTTAGGTTAGTTATTTTTTTTTTCTGGCTGCCCTCCTTTCTTTCCAAAAGTGTGGTTTTTTTTGTGTGGACCAGATGTATGTCTTCATGTGTGTATCTATGTGTAGGGAGGAGGGGGTTGGGGTTGTGAGGGAAATGCAGAAACATGAATCTATTGATTTAAGTATTGCATTTTTTTCATTGACCAAGACAGGAATATGCTGTCTAAGAAGTTGAATTTTTAATTGCTGGAGCAAGAAAATACAAAATTGCTTTACAAGCTAAAAAAAATATATGACAGTTGATGGAAATAAAATTCTGTAGACTTTTTAAGAAGGGGGGGGGGGCAGCTCCGTTAAAAGCCTCTATAATTTCAATATATGAAATGTTACAATTACCCCCCCCCCCCCCCCCCTGTCTTTTCCTGCAGTTTCTGTGAATCCTGCTAAACATGATTGCGTATCTATGCTCCCCATGCAAGATCGCTCAAAAACAATATCTTGTTGATATTTTTTCCTTTTATTTTCTATCCATTTTTCGTACTCCTCGTCATTCTGCTGTATGTAAAAAAATAAATAAAAATAAGGTAGTGGGAATATATGTTCAAGTTCCACCTCAAAATATTTCCTTCAAAAAAGTAAAACAACGTTTTTACTAAACTGTTTGCCTACTTTTGTCACCAGATGTCCGACAAACAAGAAAATAATGTGGTGTCGCTATTAAAACAATGAAATCCCTACTCCTGGACTCTAAAGCAGATGCTCGAATCACTGTGTCTCGCGGGCGACGAAAGCAAAACGTTATTTCAATTTATAGCTATTAAGAATAAAAATCAATTTTTACAGATTTGCATTCGTATTTCAGGATTATTATTAAATTAATTAATGATAAATCTCCTCATCTTTTTAATCGCATTTATTCAGTGATGGTTAAAGTAGAGATTAAGAAAAATGTGGTGGGGTGGGGTGGTTCACATCCTAAAACATCTGTCTTCAATAGTTCTGAATACATACATGTACATACAGTGTGAAGAAAAAGATTGAAGTGCAGTCCATGTAGTTCGACTGAATGTTAACAATTTATTTATTTATTTAGGCCTAATTGATTTATTTGTTTGGTGATTTATAATTTATTATTTTGTTTGTCATTTCAGGTAAAATCCTTGGCTATCCAACGACAGTCAGATGTCTACTGTATTGTTTACTTATATCTGATAAATATCGGACTAGTTTAATTGAACAATCACACCGAATCACAAAGGACAAAATCAGACAGAGGTATTTCTCTGATATTACTGATGACGGCTCGGTAGATCCCCCTGATGGAATCACAGAAACACGTGACGGTGTGATGACTTTTATATCAGACGACATCCGACATGACGTCATGTACGCCTTTGTTACGGAGTGTCTGGTGGAGGACAGTGATCTGGAGTTTTTCCTGACCACGGCGTCACGTGACGTGATATCAGAATACTGCCGGTCCTGGGATTATAAGAGGAGTGAGGGAGAGAGATGTCTTTATTTACCGCGCTATCCAAAGGAGATGTACGACCTCTTCATAGACAAACTACAGCTGGACATCATCACACACTGTACCGTGTCTGACAGGTGGATTCGTGACAGGATCAGTGAACGTTGTAAGTATAACGTCTCCAAGATCTGTCTCTAATTATGTGGTTCACTGGTTTATGACAATTGCAGTGAAATGGGAAAGTATCGTTTTAATTACTTTTTTGATTGTAACTATTTTTGAGATGCGTAGCAGCTAATAATTGTGTACATTGTATCCTGTCACAAAACCGAGACTGTAACATACAAGTTTAAATCAAATTGTTTAGATGTCTTAATCATTCTATTTTTGATCCAATTTCCAAGGAGTGTAAATTAAAAAAAAATTAATTTAGAAGCACAGTAGGATGTTTTAAATATTTGTATAATTTTGCCTTCCAAATTAAATGTTGAACTGTTACACATATAAATAATTAGTTACTAGATACAATGTACTACTAATTAAAATCATCAAGGTGAAAAAGAAAGAAACACGACTAAATCCCAATTTTATCAAAAATAGAAAATCAAAAGAACTTGAAAGGAATTTACATGTATGAGGGTCATTCAAACAATACAATGACAAAGTTCCTCATCAAATTATTAATTTTTCAAGATGAAACATAAAGAGATTTTGAATTTCATATTTAAAAAAATATTACTTTTGTCGATTGTTGAAATTTATTCTGTTTGATTATATAGAACAAATGGTTTCCAAAAGCTAAATGTTTATATTTCACCACGGAGCACAGTATGTAATGTAACGTTAAGGTCATACACAACGTAGTTTGGGCTTGACTCCCGGGGTTCTTCCCTGGAGTTGAAGAGTTCCACCAAATGAAGGACCTATGTGCAATACTTTAAATGTCTATGTATGGATTTATACACCTCTTCTAAAAAAATTTTTGATGAACAAAAATCTGGAATTTGTTTTGTAATTTTTATACATTTTTCTTTGAATAACGCAAAATTTTTAATAATTTTCTATCTTTTGAAAACCCCTGGTAGCGCATGCTGATTTTTAGGTCACCTGAGTAACTCAGGTGACCTATTGCTATCCGTTTTCGTCCGTCGTCGTGTGTCGTGTGTCGTGCGTCGTGCGTCGTGTGTTAACATTTGAACATTTTCAGCTTCTTCTCTGAAGCCACTTAACCAATTACAACCAAATTTGGTATACAGCATCTATGGGTGAAGGGGAACAAAAATTGTGAATTTCATGATCCCTGCCCCCTGGGGCCTGGGGGGTGGGGCAAAAACCACTTAAATCATTGCAATCTTTAAAAATCTTCTTCTTTACTCCTGGACATCAAGCAGGCAAACTGTTGTTATGAATGTAATGAGCATTGAGTCCTCTACATAAATTGTGAAATTCATGGCCCCAGGGTCAGGGGTTCTAGTGCTAGGGTGGGGCTATATAGATTATATAGTGAAAATGCATGATTTCTTTGAAAATCTTCTTCTCTGCTCCTAGGTATTAGATAAACTAACCAAGCACTTAGTTATGATGAGCAAGAGTGCCTCTTCCAAAATTGTGAATTTTATGACCCCAGGGTCAGGGGTTTTGGTGTTAGGGCGGGGCTCTATTGGTTATGTAGTGAAAATGCATAAATTCTATGAAAATCTTCTTCTCTACTACTGGGTATTAAATAAACTAACTAAGCACATAGTTATGATGAGTAAGAGTGCCTTTTTCAAAATTGTGAATTTTATGACCCCAGGGTCAGGGGTTTTGGTGTTAGGGCGGGGCTCTATTGGTTATGTAGTGAAAATGCATAAATTCTTTGAAAATCTTCTTCTCTACTTCTGGGTATTAAATAAACTAACTAAGCACATAGTTATGATGAGTAAGAGTGCCTTTTTCAAAATTGTGAATTTTATGACCCCAGGGTCAGGGGTTCTGGTGTAAGGGCGGGGCTCTATTGGTTATATGGTGAAAGTGCTTTTTTTCTTTGAAAATCTTTTTCTCTACTTCTGGGTATTAAATAAACTAACAAAGTACTTAGTTATGATGAGCAAGAGTGGCTCTTCCAAAATTGTGAATTTTGTGGCCCCAGGGTCAGGGGTTCTGATGTTAGGGTGGGGCTCTATTGATTATATAGTGAAAATGCATGATTTCTTTGAAAATCTTCTTCTCTGCTCCTAGGTATTAGATAAACTAACCAAGCACTTAGTTATAATGAGCAAGAGTGCCTCTTCCAAAATTGTGAATTTTATGACCCCAGGGTCAGGGGTTTTGGTGTTAGGGCGGGGCTCTATTGGTTATGTAGTGAAAATGCATAAATTCTTTGAAAATCTTCTTCTCTACTTCTGGGTATTAAATAAACTAACTAAGCACATAGTTATGATGAGCAAGAGTGCCTTTTTCAAAATTGTGAATTTTATGACCCCAGGGTCAGGGGTTCTGGTGTAAGGGCGGGGCTCTATTGGTTATATGGTGAAAGTGCTTTTTTTCTTTGAAAATCTTTTTCTCTACTTCTGGGTATTAAATAAACTAACAAAGTACTTAGTTATGATGAGCAAGCGTGGCTCTTCCAAAATTGTGAATTTTGTGGCCCCAGGGTCAGGGGTTCTGATGTTAGGGCGGGGCTCTATTGATTATATAGTGAAAATGCATGATTTCTTTGAAAATCTTCTTCTCTGCTCCTAGGTATTAGATAAACTAACCAAGCACTTAGTTATGATGAGCAAGAGTGCCTCTTCCAAAATTGTGAATTTTATGACCCCAGGGTCAGGGGTTTTGGTGTTAGGGCGGGGCTCTATTGGTTATGTAGTGAAAATGCATAAATTCTTTGAAAATCTTCTTCTCTACTTCTGGGTATTAAATAAACTAACTAAGCACATAGTTATGATGAGCAAGAGTGCCTTTTTCAAAATTGTGAATTTTATGACCCCAGGGTCAGGGGTTCTGGTGTTAGGGCGGGGCTCTATTGGTTATATAGTGAAAGTGCATTTTTTCTTTGAAAATCTTCTTCTCTACTTCTGGGTATTAAATAAACTAACTAAGTACTTAGTTATGGTGAGCAAGAGTGGCTCTTCCAAAATTGTGAATTTTGTGGCCCCAGGGTCAGGGGTTCTGGTGTTAGGGTGGGGCCCTATTGATTATATAGTGAAAATGCATTTATTCTTTGAAATTCTTTCCTTTGCTTCTGTGTTTATGCTTATGATCCAAATATGTATATTCATGATGAAGAAAGGTGCACCTAGCAAAATGGTTATTTTTTATGCCCCTGCGCCTTCCCTGGGTCGGGGGGCGGGGTACAAAGTCTAAAATTAATTAATGTTTGGAAATTTGCCCTTTGGTGTTAATCAACCATTTTATGATAAAATTTGCAATATTTTGAAATATGTGGCCCCAGGATCAGTGGTTCCTTTGGGATGAGGTGTACAACTGGTTATAAAGTGGAAGTGCATTTTCTCTTAATTGTACTCTGATCTACCTCTGGGTATTAAGTAAATAGAGTTACCATGCTAAGTCTAAATTATTATAAGCAATGGTACCCCTTTCAAAATTGTGAATTCCGAATTCCATGGCATCTGGTTTATACCATGAACCAAATTTAATTGTTTGAAAGTTGATGCACAATACTCAGGTGACCTTTAAGGCCCGTGGGCCTCTTGTTTGTCTAGAATATGTAATGGCGTTTCTCAGTTGTCAACTTGCGTTTAATCAATATCATTCATTATTTTTCGAGCTCATCTCGCTTAAGTCGACCAAATAAAGAGCGCAAATTGACATGGTTGTATGGAACGACGCAAGGGCGATAATCGCGGTATAGCATTTAGTACGCTTTCAGAGCAAGTGTCCTGTAAATAATATAACAAATAATCTATATTTTTAATAAAACGAATCTTTGCTTGGACAATTTAGCCCGTTTAGCCAAACTGTAACCAGTATTTATAATGTTCACGGTCTTTTCTTGTCAGTATATATTTTTCCCTCAAAGTTGGAATGCTTTGGGTGTTTTAATCAAAGGTAAAATATAATACTAAAAAATAATCATATAAGATATTTTAGAATGTGTTAATTACTTCAGCTTAGAGCAATTTCTAGATTCATAGATGCATGTTTCTTTCATTAGAAACACTAGATATGTTTGTGAAACACTATGCACCCGGCGGCAACAATTTTTTTTAAAAAAGCTTTGTTTAACATTTACGCCACAGTCAAGGTCACAAGGCCATTGAACTTGGAGTCATTTGAAAGAACTTGATTGGTAAAGTATAGATACTTAATATGAAGCTTAAGTCTCTATCTCTTGTGGTTGAAAAATTATGGGAAAGGTTCGAAAAACTATTTTTGCATAAGGTCACAGGCAATGTCACAAAGTCATTAACTTTGTTTTCATTTGAAAGAACTTAATTAGTGGAATATGCATACTTAAAATGAAGTACAATTGTATCTATTTTGTATTGTTCAAAAGTTATGGTGAAGGTTAAAATTTGCAGATAAAGGGTAATTTTTGCATATAGGTCACAGTCAAGGTCCTTGGTTCAATTGAAAATGCTTATTTAGTGGAGTATGCATACTAAATATGCAGTTTCCATCTTCTATTGTTCTAAAGTTATGGGCAATGACATGAAAAAATAATCTACCAATCCGAGTGCATACTAATAACATCGTTCAAATTGTGTAAATTGTTAAAATGCTTTGTTGAAAATGAACCAACAACATTATCAATATGAAAATTTGGATACACCTAAATTCACTTTTGTGATATTTCAAATTGTAGGGGAAAGGCTTGAATTTAGATAAGTAGATAAATTGAGCTTAATCCCAGGGTTTATGAATTTCACAATTAATTTAATCAAAAAGCCACACATTTCTTTGATTTTAAAACAAACAAATATTGAACTTTTTTTTTAATTATGTGACTTTGCAAAATATTTAACTATTTGAAAAAGTATATCAACACCTTTAATTTATGCAAATCTGTTTAGATTTTAGGGAAAAGGGTGATATGTATTCTTAAATACAAAAGTCTCCAATGAAGGTGAAAAGAAAAAGATATGAGTTGCGTCAAGCGAAAAAGGACCTTCGTGACAAAATTTTCGAAAATCGTTTTTTCACCGATTCTGAAAGAGTTGGTTTTTCTGAATATTTTGATACCAAATTTTTTATTGTATACCTTCTAAATTCTAATTAAAATTCAAAATGAAAGCAAAGCAATTTTAAAAAGATAACGCTATAAAACGTTGAATAACGTCACATAACGTTATTGATATTTGGAACGTTATTGTTACTAAATAACACTTTTGTATTAGTTATAAATTATTTTTTCTACATGTATTTAAGTTTTTCAATGCCCCCCCCCCCCCCAAAAAAAAATTAGCAGCTATATGATCGTACACATAGTAAAACAGCGATAAGGCTGTTTGAAAAAAAAAACAACAACAACAATTTTTTCTCTATGTATATGTTGGCCAATATTTAAATAATAAAGTAAGTTGTACATTTTCAAAGAATATATTGAAGCGAAATCATTTCATCTTTTTTCTACAACATGAATATAAGCATGCTTTAATCTCTGAAAAATTGGTATTTGAAAGGATCCTTCACAAGGGGATAGACCGCTGACCATGTGTACAAAACCAAACAAGTTCCTACTCTGAAGTTATCTCGCAACAACAATTCGTAACAACATGCACGAATATTTTCCAAGGGAGAAATAACTTATGTTCACAGAAATGACCGAGTATTTAGTTTTACGATTACTTGCAAGGGACTAAAATGAAGAAGTACGTTCAAGTAGTAAAGTCGTAAGGATAAATCCCGGTCAAAGTATTGTTTTCCCCTTTCGCCATAATCAGCAAACGTACCTCCACAAAGACAAACCCTTACCCAGTACCTACATGTACATGTATTTTTTGGAAATGACATAGTTGTACTTCCCGGAACAATTGTTTTTTAGTGGGGTGGGGTGCAGCTTTCAGACATTGGTTTTTTTTTTAATTATCAGTTACTAGTATATCACACTTCTTTCAAAATCGATGTCCCTTTATTTCATTTCAAATTATATTAAAATGTGGAAAATTCCCCAATTCAAATTAGATTAAACTTTTTTTGTTTAACCCCTCCCCCTCTAACGATGTTACTTGCCAATATGACAGTGATTTAAGATGCTAAAATCAAATAAAATATACCGGTGTAAGTTACACATTGTATCAATAATTATAACTTAACTATATGGGGGAGGGGGGGGGGCTTCTTTAAAAATCAAAAATGAGCCCGGCACGTTGTACCATGGAACAAAGACACGTTACCTCGCTTGCAATTGTTTAAATTTTGTTAAAGATAAATATCGTATGTTGTACAATTTTATAAAGAGAAAATCCTGTATTTAATTCTCATGTTAAAAATATTAAGGAATTGAATTTGTTCAGCACAAAAATATACCGATAAAATATCTAAGTTATGTAGATATCTAGGCTTGATGCAAAACAATTAGTCGGACAACAATAAAAGTCAGACATTAAATTCATACTTTCAGAGTATACTTAAATCGTTAAATACATGTATATAATTAACACATGTATAATCTTTTCTTCTGCGCCACCCATTTACGTGTTAACTACGTTGATTCATGTAATAGTTTATTGTGTAATAGATCATTATGCATTTGTACAATCGGCAATTCTCGGCTGACTCCGCTTAACTCCATTCAAATAGGTGCGAGCCAACTGAGAAGCTCCGAGTGATACCCCCCCCCCCTCCCAAAAAAAAAGAAAAAGAAAAAAAATATATAGTCACGAATTAATGATGATTATAGGATATTATTAACAAAACTCAGTATTTTTTTTCAAACCAAACTTTTTATTCTTATAGTCAGGTTGTAACAGGATCAAACCTTCTTTCATACATAATTGAAAAAAAAATATATATACGAGATATTTTTAAAATCATATGCAGTAAACAGACACATAGAAAGAATCTTCATTTGTTATAAAAGTACGTTATTTTACAGTCTGGGATTAAAAAAAGGAGTCACCAGACAATATTATTAAGAGGTCACAACATGCACGAGCGTAAATAATCATTGATTTCACAATCGCAGTGTAAATTGAGATAGGTCTACGGCAACATCAACAAAGGGGTTGCACAACTTCCAAATATGAAATTCTTTTAATCCTCTGCAAATACATCTACAGTGTATGAGAAAGAAAACGGAACTATTGAGATACTGTTTGAAAAACAGAATAATTTACCACCACTTGACTGATTATGTGAATTACAAGACAATGAATGATCTGGCACTTAATTAAGTGATCAAATGTAGGAGCGATCTTTTTAGAGAAGGGGGGGGAGGTGCATGTGTCATTGTATTTCAAAGTGTCTATGGTCAAAATAAAAAAGAAATTAATAGTAAATTAATACGTGAAAACGAAAACGAACAAGCAAAATCGAAACAACAGAAAAAAATGAATTAAAAAGAAAAAAATAAAGGAAATCAAGAAAGAGAATAACGAAAAAAATCGGAATTAATTCTTGAAAAGTTTCCCTTTCCGTAGTTATTACATGTATATAAAACGAACATAAGCACATCCTTAAAAAAGTGCGCGCAAGCGAGGGTGTGGGGGGGTGGGGGTGGGGGGGGGGTGGGTGGGGTGGTAATCAAACCATTGAATTATATAATGTTATGTATGATTATAAGCTCAACTCAAAATGTCTGGAACTACTGTGTTTGCCTCAAATAAAACTAGTAAACTTCAAATCAGAAAATAAAACTAATGTACATTGCTCTGATTTTAAATCATCGCCCTTAATTTTCGACTTGAAGTTAACAACATCAGTTTAACCCAAAGTTAACATGTTCAGCTTTAATTTATTTCAAATTTAGGCAATGAATACAAGACCTCCAATTAGTTTTGAAAATGACCACTGTTGATTATTTTCACATTTTATTACGTCAGTTTTCAAACCTAAGTGTTGCGCCAAAGGTGATGGTGTTGATGAGGAGATACAGAAGTCCGTATGGTTTTCGCCGCTTCATCCTTTATGTCATTCCTAGCAGTGCATTCATGTTTTTTCCAACTATATGTATTGACAAAATGCTATTGAAACTATGCTAGTATCAGTTAACTTGATTCGATTACTTAATCTCTGATAACAAACTTTGGGTATTGAGTCGACAATTCACGGGCCTTTCTGACTAACGGAGAAACAACCTGGAATGTGAAATATGTAACCCCCACCCTCCACCCCACCCCCAAAAATAAAACAAAAAAAAATTTAAAAAATAAAAAAAAACTTGAAATAAATGCAGGGGACCACTTATCTGTACATAGAGTCTGGAGCTCAGCCGGAAAGGTCAAAGACGCGAAATATTGTCTTCACAGATTACTGAGGTAAAAACGTACATGGATTTGATCATAGACATTTTACACTTCTCATGAATAAGGCCATTCATGAACTATCAAAAATTGAATTAGATAAAAAACTTTTTTGGACAAATTAGCAGTAAATCTATAAATTGACGACATAAAACAATTTTTTTCGGACAGTTATAGGCGTGTCTTTTTTTAAACATTAGTATTACGCAAATAAATTTTTGTTTTGCTTTATCGTATGAATTCTTTTTATCGGCAAACGCACCGGCGCGACGTCACGTCTTTGAAGCGCTATTGTGACGTAATTACGTTTATGTCACGAAGGTCCCTTTTCGCTTGACGCAACTCATATATATTCAATTTAGTTGTTTTCTGTTTATCTCTAAATATTATATTGTTGATTGTTTTATGATATAGTGGGAGTCCCTAGAGAAGTACTAGAATGGGACCAGGAGGCCAGAGAGCGGTATGTGGAGTACGCTAAAAGAGGAACACAGACAGTCCACCACGCCCGGGGGATGATTGTAGGATGTGCTGGGGCGGGGAAAACCACGCTACTTAAACGTCTGCTTGGTTGTAGTGTAGAAGAGATTAAGGAAGTAAAATCTACCGAGGGACTCGAGGTGCATGAGGAAATATTTCACATATGTGATCAAACAAAATTATTAAAAGGTATGTGATCAAACAAAATCATTAAAAGGTATTGTTTAAAATTCATAATCTTTCTCACTATTTTTATTCCCCGACGTAAATATGGCCGGGGCATATAATGTTTGTCATGTCCGTCTTCCGTCCTTCCATTCTTCCGTCCTGTACTTCCGTCCTTCCGTCATTCCGTCTGTCTTTCCGTCACACTTTGTGTTTAGCTCTGTTCAAAGCTAAGTTTCAAAGAAACTATCCAAGATATTTTCATCAAACTTCATATACTGATACATATTGATGAGAGCTATGCAACTGCATCAACATTTTTTGACCTTGACCTTTCCTTTGACCTTGGCCTCACTTTTCTTAAATTAGTGTTTAGCTTATTTTTAAACATACCATTCAAGGTGGTGTTATCAAACTTCACATGTTGATACAATTTGCACGGATGATGCATTTAAGGATGGACACTACCAGACTTGCTTCGGATGATTAATGTGACCTACATTTTCCAGATGAGTGACCAGGCCCCAAGACCATAAACTGAGAACTGACTTAAGTCAAATTTTAAAACCAGTATAACTTTTTAAATAATTTTGAAAATGATACAAAATTTACAACAAATATTTGAATCAATGTGTTATAAAGAATTGCAAACTTTTAAGCAAATACATCAAGCAGAACTCAAGAAATAAAAAATCAAAATTTTGACTTAAGGTCAAGATCTAGTAAATAACTTGAGACTAATTTTTTGGTGCTAGATCCATTATGACGTCATAATCAATTTCAACTTTTGTTTTCCCGTACTTTACGGCTTTAGTAGAATTATGTAGAAAATAAGGTATTTTCATGACATTCAATTTAAAATCATATGAAAAGTAAACCGGATACCTATATCAAATTTGATATAGATTTAAAGAAGAGGCCATGAACATACTAATTACCGTTTTCTGAGAGACTGTAGGCAATCTGGATACATTTCCTTTAAAGATTACGAAAAAAACCTCCCATATTCATGATTGGTTTTCTTTATTTTTCATTGAAAATGACAGTTTAAAATACAGTTTTTCATCTGGTTTACCTACAAATTATGCCCCGAAACACCTTATTTGACCAAGCTATAGTTATAAAGCATCAATAAAGGAATTTATTTCTCAAGTTTGATAAATCTATAGGCACCTTTCATTCACTAGATCTTGACTTTAAGTCTGTTCTCAGTTTATGGTCTCCAGGCCAGGTTAAAGTTTTTGGAGCAGACCCATTTCCAAGGAACTATAAGACCTACCAAAACCAAACTTGCACGGATGATGCATCTAGGGATGAACACTACCAGACTTGCTTCGGATGCTGGATTTGACCTACAATTTCAAGATGAGTAACCAGGTTAATGTTTTGGAGCAGGTCCATTCCTAAGGAACTCTAAGCCCTACTTGGACCAAACTTGCTTGGATGTTGCATATAAGTATGGACACTACAAGACTTGCTTCGGATGCTGGATCTGACCTACATTTTCCAGATGAGTCACCAGGTTAAAGTTTTTGGAGCATGTCCATTTCCATGGAACTATAAGCCCTACCCAAACCACACTTGCACGGATGATGCATCTAGGGATGGACACTACCAGACTTACTTCGGATGCTGGATCTGACCTACATTTTCCAGATGAGTGATGAGTTATTACGTATTAAATACTGACCATTGTGTGTAGTTATATATAGTAAGATTTTTTGTCACACTGGGTGAAAAGTCCAGTTTCCGCAAAACTGAAACTATATGGAAACCTTGCTGAAACTTGGCGTTGAAGTTTCCTGTATGGTTTCCGCAATGCGAAAACTATATAATAGTTTCAGCAAGTTTCTGTAGGGTTTCCGTATGCTGAAACTATTAGGTTTGTTTCCAAAGAGTTTCCGCAAAACGGAAACCAATGTAAAATTTAATGAAATGTCAATTTAACGATACTTTTTAGTTTCAGTAGGTTTCAGTTTCCGGAAACTATTGATTTCGATTCCATATGGTTTCCGCATGTTGAAACCGAACTGAAACTTTTTCTTTTCTTTTTTTTTAAATGGTTAAAAAATCAACTCAAATGATTTTTTTACTATTGATTTCGATTCCATATCGTTTCCGCATGCTGAAACCGAACTGAAACTTTTTCTATTATTTTTTTTTCAAAAGGGTAGAAAAATCAACTCATATTATCTTTACTATTGATTTTGATTCTGTATGGTTTTCGCATGCTGAAACCGAACTGAAACTGTTTTTATTATATTTTTTTTTTCAAAAGGGTAGAAAAATCAACTCATATCATATATTTATTTACTTCTACATTTTAAAAAAAAATGGTTTATTTTTAAATATCTACTAGTTCATATTCAGATTTTGAGATGTGCTCTGTGTAAACTTACACATACCGATATTGATATCAATGATAAGCACTTTATACAAGATACTTGCTTCATATTAATTTATTTCATATTGTGCTGGAATTAAAAAAATATCATTTTTAAACAAAATCGATTCCTCTCACCAGGATTTTCTACATTACCCAACTCGAGACTCCCCATCGGGAATTAATTCTTTTCATAACATACATTATTTTCACAAAATATTACTTCCGTATGAGAACAAATCAAGGGTTATATATGGAGGTTCTAAAGAAAATTAGTGTGTCTTCATGGTGCATGAAATACAGATAATTACGAGAGCGAACGTTTACATTATCTGAGATAGCAAGTTTTGCATTTTTTTCCTTATACATGTATCTATATTCCTGAATGGAAAATTATCATTTCAATAATTCAATTTGTTAACAACAAATACTGACTAGGAAGCCTTTTTTACTATTCAGTGTTCGACATAAGATATATAGTGCAATAGTTACTAGTTGTTTTTATAATTACATTGATCATGTTGATTTAATATCTACATATATGTATTTTTATCTCCGTTCTCATGAGTACATTTTATTCGTTTAACAGCCGTTAATCTTATTCGAAAGCCGCGGGTAAATATTGCAAGAAAACATGTCCTTAACATTTGATGCCATGGTTCTTAAGATCTGCATCATATTATGTCAATCTAATTAAAATTAAATCGTCTCATTTGTTACCCAAATGCTTATTCGCACGAAGAAGACTTATTAATGTAAAAAGTCTGCTTTTGTGAAACAATACCCTGGGAGCGAATGGAAAATCTCATTTTAATTAGATTGCATATTATGTGTAGGCTTTTTAATTAATCAATTAATCAATCAATTAATTAATTTATTTATTTATTTATTTATTTATTTATTTATATAATTTATTAATTTATTTATTTATTTATTTATTTATTTATTTATTTATTTTCAAATGTCTTAATTAATGCAATATTACTGAAAACGCGGTACCTATACTTTTTAGTAATATGTTCAATTATATTCGTATTGAGATGTATAATGTGCTAAATTTGTGATTTAGAAAACACTCACTTTTTTTTTTAATAAAAGTAGTATGTAAGTTGATCAAATTTTCAATCCTTTTCTTTGAACCCCACTCGCGGGCACCTGTCCTCACGTGCCACAGGTGGGGAGACACGTGTCGTGAAGACACCTGCTACCTTGTTGGTGTATTTTTTGTATATTCTATGTGGATTGAGAGGTTTTTCTACCTTAGAGGAACAATGGGCTGTGACCAGGCGTAATATATACATGCAGTACATGGTATACACAGTATAGTCACTAGTAATGACCCCAAGGTGTCTGAATTCAAATTTTAAAATTAAAAAAAAAAAAAAAAAAAAAAAACCACACACTCTCTATATATAAAACTTCACCTAAAATCAAACAAATAAGATTGTTTTATAAAATATTTTATATAAAATGTTTCATATAAGCTATTAAGTTTATTACGTGTTGGTGATTAAAAGAAAAGAAAAAAAAAAAAACCTCTCAGATGTTTATCTACTATAGATCAATCTAATAAATAATAAAACTAATCTACAGGTAAGGAGAATATTTGCTAGTTCAATAGACTATTTTGAAAAAAATCAGTATTATTTTACAATTTCTCCACAAAGAAATCGGCAATCACAAAAAAATCGACAATTAATGGTATTCCTTGTTTGCCACCATTGTAAACTTCAAATATTGAAAATATTTAGAGATCGATGACACGCAACCTAATGAAAACAAAGTCTATGAATTTTATTTCATAACTTATTTCTGTAGGTTATTTCTAAGTACACAATAAAACAACGTTTTATTTCTAATGTAGAGTCCAAACCAGAAAAGTGTAAGGTTATTACAATAATAAGGAAAAGATAAAAAAAAAAAAAGAAAAGATAAATACATTTAGTAAACAAGAATACCTGTATACATGATATGTGTAAAGGACTATGACTACTATTACATGATATCATTTATAAATTTGCCCGCAAAATCAAGTTTCTGTATCTTCTGTATTGAGTAATAACCAATAATTTTTTGTTCATCATCTTATGCTGAGAAGTAGCGCTATTTACTATTAATTGAATGATTTTTTTTTCTATAATGATCATCTTTTTTACATGACCGTGTTATAAAAAAATGAATTTTGAATATCATTTACACTGTTGGAATTACACCTACATAATCGATCTTCTCGAGAAATATTGGTAAATCTGGCCACTTCAATTTCTAACCTGTGACAGGAAATTCTTAGTTAACATATAAACTTAATTGTACATGTAGATATTTTCTGAGATGGAAATTTTTATCATTTGATTAATAATTCTTATAACCCCAATTTTGCTTTTGAGTTTCACAAAGGTATAAAAAGCAATACCAGAGAGAGAGAGAGAGAGAGAGAGAGAGAGAGAGAGAGAGAGAGAGAGAGAGAGAGAGAGAGAGAGAGAGAGAGACATACAACACGTTCAAATATAGTTTGTAATTTTTTCTTCGTTTTATTTAAGTTACGAAGATCAAAATTAATCATTATATAATTCACTATATAACAATGATTATTAACTTACATGTACTTTGTTAATTTATCTATTCTATTTTATGACACAAA